GATGCAATGAGTTCTTCAAAGCGCACACAAACCAAATTTATACACCGGACCTCCATTTCTTATATGAGAAGACTTGGTTCTATCAACTAGCGCCGAAGTACTAAGGCTGTAGCTAGCAGTGCCCCTGCCTTACCGCTCGGCCACTCGATCTTTAATGTAATAACTGCATAGGTACCTTTTCCCTGCTTTCCTTCTATTCAAGATCCATCTCTAACTCCATCAATGAAGCGGTGAGATTTTTTGGTGACAGTCTACTGTATTACTGCAGTATCAGGGGCGGATCCAGCCTGGTATGAAAGACAGGCCGTGTACTGTATGTGCGATCTGAATGAGAGTCTCAGGGAAGAGCCTGTGGTAGGGGTGCAAGAGGTAAATCCTTAAACCACTAGCATCTTCGTTAATTTGAGGTTGTATTTGATTGAATTTTACTATTTAACATGGCCATTTTCTAATAATCTTTACAAAACAATTTAAAAAAAAAGAAAAAAAGAGAGGGGTGTACACTTCTTACACCTCCTCTTAATCCGCTGAGTATTAGCAGATAACCATGCTGAGGAGGAAAGGAGATAATTGTGTGTCTTTTACGAAGTGAATGATTTTTGATATTCATACTATTGTTATTGCAAATTGAGTGGAATGACCTTTCAACATGTAGGTTGCTGAATTGTGATTGGTTGGTAGTGTTTATACAGTATTAGGATATGCTAGGGGAAGGTCTTGTCTGTCATTTATTTGCATTGATTAATGTATCCTTGCAAAATTGTCTGATATACAGTGATAAAAAATGAATAATCATTGAATGAGTATACTATGCTGTAAAAGAAGTTTTATTTAATTTTTTATGTAATTTGTTTAATAATCTATAAAGGATTTTAATTATTTTTTTCGGTAAATAGACCTATAGAATATTGACCAAACTAGTAAATATATCCTCCAGTGTACAAAACAATTGATTCCTACCATAAAATGTACATTATAATACAGTATCTAAATAATGCAATGCTTGAATTGAGGGAGTCATCAAATGAGGGCGTTATCAAATTTATGGCAGGTCACTTCAAACGACATGTAAAAAATCACAACTTTCTTTGTTTCTTAAATTTTTTGAGTTTTTTATTATCAAAACAACTTTTTGTATATGTGATACATAATAATATATTTATAATACAGATACTAATCACCATATTTGCACAATTATACGTTTCTTTTTAAAACGAAGGTCAACGGCAGCAGCGTCGTATCATATAATTTGCCTCGTGACGTCATTTCTCCGTAAATCCCAACTTTCATGCGACGCAACATCGATATATGATGTTTACATAATATATAGAACCTATGGTGAGAATTTCGTTGACTACTAAATCTATGCAACGGTTAAGGTGATATTTTACTGGACTATAGTAGTTTGAAACCAATCAGTCATCGTGGCAACAAACAATTTTCTACAGTACACCATTGACAATGACAACATGATGAAGAATATTACAAATTCAACTAAATTAAAAGTTATTATGGGAATAATGATGACGGTTGTTTAGCATAAATTTACTCATTAATGAAATATTAATTATTTTAGAATAATCATGCAAGTACCAAAAACAATAGGCTCTGTCTTCTTATTACCATGTTGCATTCCGTAAAGTTTGAAACCAATCAGACTTACCAAAAAACAATAACAATAGGCTCCAGCTTCTTATTACTATCTTACATAGAGTACTGCCAAGTTCGAAACTAATCAGACTTACCAAACTTTAAATTTATTGTGTAACCTAAACCACCTGATTAATGAAATATTAATTTTGCAAATAAGCAATTAGCATATTCACACATGTACAAAAAACAATGCTCTGTCTACTTATTACCATCTTGCATTCTGCCAAGTTTGAAACCAATTGGACTTACTGTACCAAACTTTAGTTATCATGGTAACTAGCCTAATTACCTGATTAGTGAAATATTAATTATGCAAATGAGCAATTAGCATAATCAAACACGTACCAAAACCTTCTTATTACCATCTTGCATTCTGTCAAGTTTGAAACCATTCAAGTTTGAAACTACGTTAACTTTAGTTAACGTGGTAACAAACAATTTTACCTAACAACGGCAACGACGACGACAATAACAGCATGAAGAACATGGGCAAAAACTCACCAACGCTTCACTCCTTTGGGGAGGCTAATAAATTGCTTATATTCTGTGAATCATTAGAAATTTATATATTGTTTGATCAGAGTCAAAATGAGGAGATTTTAATTGATTTTTTTAAGGATTTCTTATTTTTACCACTGAGACGGTAACTGCATACTGAACAGCAAGCTCTACTTTGAGAATTTGGCATATTAAAAACTTTGGACATATATGCAATTGAATGTTGACACACTAAATTGTACTGTAGGAAAACTTCTTCTAGAATATGGACAGTTTAATCCACAGTAATTGATATGATTATTACATTATTTATGCTGGTTTCTGAAGCCATAAATTCTATTAAACCCTTCATCGTTTTAGAATCTCACTGGTAGTAGCCAATAATTTGACTCATACATACAGTACCAGCATAGACTAGGCCTTTTTCTGACTGTTTAATGCAGGGGTGGGCATAAAAATCGGTCGGAAGGCCAATGTGAATTTCTGATTTAACACCGTCACACACAAACTTTGATGTTTCCAGTGAGTTTCCAAAAACCTCCAAGTCTGCTTTTACACCATTTTATTCTCAGATTAATGTTATTTTTTACATGCCGTATGATCGGTGCCGGGCTGGCAGTCGGAGGCATTGATCATTACTAAAAAAGTCACAATTTATTAAATTTCATTTATGCTTGCTCCAAACCACTACTAAATGTACTACTGTTTAGCTACAGCATAATAGTGCAATTTGGTGCTGGAGGCATTTGATCAAGATAATTTCCATGGTTGTAGGCACAAAAATATTTTATCCAGGCCTGCAGATTGGGTTTTTAATAAATTTTTGCGTGCTGCAAAAAAATTGCTGTCTGGCCGCACTTTGTCCACCTGTGGTTTAATGCATACAGTAGTCCTTCAAAAATCATTTCACATTATTTTATTACTCAATACTCAAAAACTTTATTTGTCATATACATGTACAATACACATACAATGAAATTCAACTTGGTTCCTTAACAAAAACAAACACAAAATATGAAAATTTCAAACTAGTGACTTGTTTAATGCCCTAATGGCGGAGGAATAGACACTACATATAGATCTACCCCTCCCTGTCACTAGTGATTGATATCGGCGGCCACTCCGCATCAAAGTGAACAAATAGTTGGCCGGGTGATTTCTGTCCCCAGCGATCGCCATTGCCTTTTTAACCATACGGTCATGATAGATTACATCTGCCGAAGGCTGCTTGATTCCAATGATGCGGGATGCAGACTTAACTACACGATTTAGGTCCTTCTTCTCCTTCTCCGTGGTGTACTACCCATACCAGATAATAACAGAGAGAGTTAGAACGCTCTCTATCCCTGACTTATAGAATTGACCCATCCCGGGGGGTGGCTAATCCTGAAGGACCTCAATCTACGCAGAAAATAAAATCGCTGCTGTGCCTTTTTTACACACTGATGAACGTTTTCACCCTATTTGAAGTCATTTGTGATAATATGTACCCAAACATTTGAAGGAATTCTGGATGATTAGTGGTTTTAACTGTCCCCTGGTGGTTCTTTTATATTTTGTTTTTTTCCGAAAGTCAACAATTATTTCTTTAGTTTTGGCGACATTTAGTTCAAGATTGTTGTAATTACACCACTCAATTAGTTGTTCAACTTGTGCAGGAATTACAGTATGCTCATCACTGTTCTGAATAAGGCCAGTCACGGTAGTAGTATCATTAGCGAATTTAACGATAAGGCAATCTGAGAAGGAGGTACTAAAGTCATGTGAGTAAAGGATTGGCGAGAGTACGCATCCTTGGGGGGCCCTGTATTTATTACTATTGTATTAGAAATTAATGAACCTATTTCAACTACTTGTGGTCGAAAAAAAATAATCAAAGAGACCCACCGATACCAAGGTTATTCAACTTAAGGAGCAATTTACAAGGTGAGATTGTGTTAAATGCAGAACTGAAGTGGAGAAAGAGAACTCTAGCATGGAGTTTAATCCTTGTGCATTGTAATAGACACTGCATCCTCGGTTGACCCATTGGCCCTGCAAACTGCTAAGGATATAAAATAAGCCTGGAGAAATTTCATCCATTAAAATTTATTTACTCAACTGACAGCCATCTCATTGATTGAGGTCGGCGCGGTTGAAAAAGATCGTAACATGAAGGATAAACAAGGCGATTCTACCACGGATCTAGGCCTGCCTTGCCATGGAGTTGTTATTTTGATAAACAACTTAAATAACAACTCCCTGGTCTTGTTTACGACATTTTAAGGCTGAGCGAGCGCCATAGTATATTGGCTTAAGATAAGAAATTTTGTTTCATTGCTCTATGACATCGTGCAAATCACATTTTTTGTGAAATTTTCGGGATAGGCCTATTAAAAAAAATCGGGAGATTATTAATAAAAATCGGGAGAACCCGCGATTTTCGGGAGACTTTGGATCTCTGACATTATGAAATTTAAACATTCAATTCGTTCAGGTTTGAGCTTGCTTTTCTTTAGATTTTAATGGAAGAAAGGTCAGAAAGAGAGAGAGAGAGAGAGAGAGATACATGACAGTCGAGCACTAACTCCATCATGAATGGGCGAATACAGAGTAGGCCAAGGAGGCAAACAAAGGTGAACAGAAGAAATTCCTTACGTGATCGACCTGGTCTGCATCGAGGCTTCCCTTTTCGGGCTAGGCCAGGCTCTACTACAACTCTAGGTTAAGCCGGTGGGTTAGGCCTAGCCTAGGCTCTAGCTGAACCATTTTTAATTTTATATTCTTCCTGAGATTTTCAGAGTTTAATGCTAGGATATAGATACGCTATATTCTTAAAATCTACCACATGAATGAAGCTATGAACTAACCTGTTTGCGATCAGTTTGTCGAGAAAAACCAGAGAACGTACTGAGAGGCGATGATTACCACAAAATAGTTGTTTGTTCCCGATCAGCTGTTTGAGATTTAGCTGATCTCATCAGCATTGACCAATCAAATTGATGAATTGAGAGGTGTGTCATAGAATTTAGCCAAAGATACTAGAAATACAAGATAATTGTAAAAATGAGGCGGAAGTCGTGCCCAACGTAGGCGGCGCCCTTCTTTTTAACCATGCAAGTTTACTATACTTCGTGCCCAACGTACAGGGCGCCCTTCTGTTGCAAAGTATATCCAGACGCAAAAGGCGCCCTTCCTTTTCCACTAATGAAGGAAAACTTTTTCTCTAAGAGTGCGTCCGGCCATGCGATTCTGCGCTGTATTGTTGTTTTATTCTTTACTGATTCATGATTATGCTTTAATTGTTTTGTGTATTATTTGGATAATAGCAACGATTTCTACCGCCACCAAGGAGGTTATGTATTCACCAATGTCACTGTCTGGGTGTCTATTCCAGTTTGTTTTTATATCTAGTATCTTTGTTGAGAATTGATAATAAAATACGCGACGACTTGGTAACGAAAGTTTAGCACAAGTTTTTTTTAGATCCAGCTGTAGGGGGCGTCCCATTTTTGGTATTCCCACCATGCATTTCGGTGGAACACTTTTTTTGTGTGGAGAACTCTATCTTGTATTTCTAGTATTTGATTTAGCCAATTGCAGTAGAACGAAGAGACGCACCTCCACGTCACCCACATTATGGGCTAGAAGCCTGATGATGCAATGTTTCAATGTAAATGACTTTCAGACGCGTCAAAGTCGATTGTGACGCAGAAGAAGTCTTGACAAGATCTCTAGGATAGCATACTCTTTGAGGATAGAAATATTAAAATGTTCCTTCATTCCTAAAGATGACCCAATAAATATCGAAACGTAAAGAATCATAAAGCAATTGCACCATTATTAATTTTAAAAAAATATTAGGACACGCACACGTACATAGATCAAAATGATATGGCATTTTTCAGATCCCGGTTGAGGCTGATTGCTTCTCTGATAAAGCATTTGGAAAGTGCAACTCTCGTCTCTGTGCCAATTTATTTATTTTATTACTTATTTCTGGTAAAGCGTGCACATACAAATTTTAGAAAAACAAAACAAAAAATAAACAAGACAAAAAATTCAATGATTACAAAAAATGAACTAATAGGAAATGTAGTAGATTTTTTTTTTTTTGCTCACTGGTACTGGTACGGGCATCTATAATAATGCGACTCTTCCTTGCGGTTATAAAGCGCAGTTCCTATAAGAAAATTCACATTTGATTTTCCAAGGACACGGGGTATGAAAGCAATCATCCATTATTACAATTTATGGATCTGAAAACACTTCGCCTAAGGGAAGGCGTAATTCCTAAAATAACTGGCAATAACAAAATGATAACGGACAATACGTTTATATATAAGGCCACGTTTCAAAACAAGATTAGCACTGTTATCGACTGTTCACTCTTAATGCAAAGTATTGAATTGCTAGTTTAATTCGAATATATATATATATATATATATATATATATATATATATTATATATTGGC